CCCCCCCCCCCCCCCCCCCCTTCAAATTTTTTAAATTCTCATTGTCCTCTCAATATTTTCAACAAATTTTATTGTTAACCTCTAACTTTTTAAAACACTCAATATATAAGTATCTCACTTAGTATATTCAAAAAGATCAATGACTTAATATTTAGTAATCATTTAAGATTTAATCACATGGATGAATGTCGATTATATTGACAAGTATACTTGTTGGATATTTTGATAACCGTAAAAAAAACAAGTGATTTTTAAAAAAATAATAAAATAAGAATACAAATATGGTTTATATCAAAAACAGTTCATTGAATTATAATTTATTTTTATTATGGTATCTTATGAAACTATTATTTGCGATCATAATTTCTTTATAGGCATAAGGTTACATTATAAACAAGAAAAAAAAAAAAAAAAGGAGGATGAAAATATGACATGAACTAATTTTTGAGTATAGTAATGAGAATGCAGAGTGCCAAATGCCGGTGGTCTGAAGAAAATTGTCAGATGCTACCTTGTGAAGTTGCTGATTCAGTTTTGATCTTTTCTTACTTATTTCTACGACGTGAACCAGAAGAATGTTATTTAATTGCATGGCTGATACGTAAACTCCACTGCAGATCAAGCCAACAAGAAGTACAACGAAGGCAGCTTAAACTACTTTGTGCCAAAAACCAGCATGATTATAAAGTTTTTTTTCTTGCAATTTCCCATTTGCTCTTACACTGACGACAGAATTACTTTGTCTATTGTCTACCGTTGAAGTATAAATATTTAAGTTACACCCTTTTAAATTTTTGAAGTAGATAGTTATTTAACATGATATAAGAGCAGGAAGTTCTATTTTCGAATCTCACCGTCATCCCAATTATTAAAAAAAAAATTACGTGTTAAGCCTAAAAATCTAGTCTGCACAAAATAAAGAAAGTGTGTTGAAATATAAATATTTAAGTTACACTACCTTTAATAACTTAAACTTTTGAAATAAATGATTTCTTAACATGTACCATGTTATATGGTATTTTGAACTTAGTAGTCGCATATTTAAAGTTATTTTTAGGTATATGTCATGTGGAAATATGCAACTCTATCGTGTTAAGTTTGCAACTGAAATGCATCAAAGTACAACCCAATACATTTGATATAGGATTGATCCAAAAAAAAAAAAAAAAAATTGGGATCTTTACAATTGATTTCAACTTCTTTTGAACCCATCAACACGCAACTTTGATGTAATTAAGTCGATCGTAATTTTCTCAATTTTTGTCAGCATGTTTCCCAATACAATACTATAGTTTTTTTCCCTTGTTTTTATGATGTTTGTACAGCAACCAGGGAGGCCAGCATATTATTGAACATTGTACCAAGATAGTAGCCTCTTTTATGTCACAAAATGTTGATACCACAACAAAAATACCGACTTTTTTTGGTTCCTCCAAGTGTTTGTATCAAATATGACAAATCCAATTCGGTTCTGTTAAACTTCTCACAGATACATCCAATGAAGTAGGTTGGAATGAAACATGTGCATGCAAAAACGAGCGATATAAACTCTAAAAGTAACTCAAGTGGTAATAGGGATAAATTGTAAAATCAGACGTCCTAAATTCAAATCTTAACAACCCCTTAAGGTCAAACTATAAGGTATTTATCCCTCATGAATACATTAATTCGGCATAGAAGATCTGTCTTTGATTGAATCGAGAGGGGATTAGTCGAGGTGCGCATAAGCAGGCTCAGACAACCTGAACCGTTAAACCAAAAAAAAAAAAAGAGGAATATAGCCATAAAGGTATTGACACAAAAAAGATTTAATTGACACAAAAATCATAGTTTGATGACTATATGTATAATTTACTCTCTGTGTTATGTCTTGCTTCTGTGTGGTATTCAATCAATCAACAGTAGAAGTAAGAGAAGTAAATATGTAGTTTTTTTTTTTTGGTGAATTTATTAATGATATGAACGTTTGAAGTATCGTATCATACAAAGGATTGAATTATATTGTTTGAATTCATCACAGTTTTTGTTAGTACTCGCATAAGTCCACATGAAAAGTACAATGTTTTTTTTTTCTTCTTTGAATTTAACACCATTTTTGTTTTAAGAAGGTCCAAGCCTCTTTGGGCAATTAGTTGTTGCAAATATTAGGGTAAAATATAATTTTAGCCCCTAAAGTATGTGTATAATGTCTATTTTGTTTCCAATCTTTCAATTGTTTCTATTTGGTCCCTAAGGTTCATAATTTTTATCTATGTAGTCCAATCTCAAACATCCGTAAAAAATTCATCAATGCCTCTAGTCACGCACCAATCATATGGGACCAAATAGATACAAATTAGAAATTTTAAGGACCGACATACAATTAGGAACCATGTGATTGGCGCGTGACCAGATCCGTCACGATTTCTTGACGGATGTTTGGGATTGTACCACATAGATACAAATTAAAAATTTTAGAGATTAATTAAACACAATTGAAAGACTAATGATCAAATAGATATTAAACGCATACTTTGGGGACTAAAAATGTATTTTACCTTATAATTTACCTAAACACGGGTTTCAACACAAATGCCAAAGAAGGATCCAACTCAACCTAAAATCTTTTTTCTTTTTTGTGGGGAGTTGTTTTCATTTATTCAGATGGTAAGGGGACAAGGAGGAATTTAATTGCAATTTTTAAATATCAGCAAAGTTAGGGGCATTTCTCTATCACTTGTCTCACATCACCCTATATATAATATATAAGCCAAAGAAGAGCAAGTTCTTGTGTTCTATTACCTACAAGAGTTATCTCTTCACCAGAAATAGTGGAGAAAACCCTGATATTTGTCTTCCTCCAGTGAGATCAAGTTCCTGATTTTATGTTCACCAAAAAACAACCCTCCTTTTAGATTGCACCCACAACGAGAAAAAAAGATAGAAGGTTGAAAGCAAAGAAAAGACAGAAAGACAAACCTTCTATAGCAATCCCAAAAAAAGTCTTTTTCTGATGTCAAATATTACAGGTGATGAAGGGAGTTTCTCTTCAGGAAACACTGGAGAAGAAGTCCAGCAACTTCAAGAAAAGAAGCAACTTCAGCTAGAAAACCACCTCCATGGCTCGGGTTTGGTACCTTCCGGCGCCATGACGAATAGCAATGGCTCAAGCTCACAACAACAACCAGCTAAGAAGAAAAGAAATCTACCAGGAACTCCAGGCAATTTCAACAACCCCATGAACCTCAATTATATATGTTTTCATAACACCAATCTTTGCTTGATGGGGATGTATTCAAAGAAGATTAAGCAGCAGCTTAGAATGAAATACTAGCAAATATATTAATATAACCTATAACAATATTCGAGGAATTTTCTTCCATCCGGAAGAATTTGAACAGGAAATTCAGCAGCCGGAGTCAAAAGAAATCTAGTATTTTACCTTTTGTTTTGCATTCAAATCATAGCATGTTTATGTGAATTATGAATAGCTAAATGGAAGAGGATTTAAACGCACTTTACTTTGAAGGATTGCTAGTGTTCTTTGGCATATGAATGCTAAAAATTTATTAGACAGGATTGCTATCGAGTTTAATTTGATCTAATATCAACAGGTATAATGAGGTTTTCTTCTGTCCATTAAAAAGATTTTTTAATATGCTTTTGAAAAGAAATAAATGTTATTCTAAGTGTTCAATTATTGCTGGGAGATTACAATAATTGATTAGAACTGTGCTTGATTGCACTTTTCTTCTCTCTCTATTTTGGTCTTCCAGCTGTTCTTGACTAGCTAGGGTGATTTGTGGATTTATAGTTTATGGAATTAGTCGGTGTTATGAACAATTAATTGAAATATTATTTGGGAAAATAATGATGGTGGTCATTAGATTATCCCATTAGATTATCGGTATGTCTCAAAATTTAATACACTCTACTATCAATCTAATGGTTACAATACATTATATTCTTAAATTATATCCTACTAACAAACAAAGAATATATAGATATACTTACCCAAAAAAATATATCTATAGATTTACGACATTTGGCAAAATTCATGTGGACATCCACCTAAACAAATGATATTCACTATATCATAAACTCAAGAGGGTTGTAGCTTTTATACACATTCCATATTATCCAATAACAACCATGTTGAACTCTTAGGGGTGATGTAGTCCAAATGTTTCAAGTTCTATCTCTTCTCACACCCCTTAATGCCTAGTTATCTTTATCCCTTTAAGAACATGCTCTAACCCAACTTAGGTCATGATAACCAACTGTTGAGCTCAAATGAATAGTCAGTTCAAGCCTAAACATCCTGTATCACCAGTCATTCGAGTTTTGAGTCTAATGATTATGACTCGTCTACTATTTGCAAGTATAAAATTATCATATATATCAAATTATGATTCTTGTTCTTTTATTCAAATCCTCTTCTAGTGTTTTTATGGTCTCCTGGTTCACAAAATAATTGGAGTTTTAGCATGATTAATTAGGATTGTTATTTCATTTTTTAACAGATCCAAGTGCAGAAGTCATTGCTCTATCACCCACAACACTAATGGCTACAAACAGATTTGTGTGTGAGATTTGCAACAAGGGATTTCAAAGGGACCAAAACCTCCAGCTTCACCGGAGAGGCCATAACCTTCCATGGAAGCTCAGACAAAGAACAAGCACTGAGGTGAAGAAGCGCGTCTACATCTGCCCAGAGCCATCGTGTGTCCACCACAACCCGGCTCGAGCATTAGGAGATCTTACTGGAATCAAGAAGCATTATAGCAGGAAACATGGCGAGAAGAAATGGAAATGTGATAAGTGTTCCAAGAAATATGCAGTGCAGTCTGACTGGAAGGCTCATCAGAAGACTTGTGGAACCAGGGAATACAAATGTGACTGTGGAACCATCTTCTCCAGGTCTGTTTTTAGTGTTTCTTGCTAAATCAATTTGGTGACTGATACATGAATGATTAGGAGAGGATTGTCATGAGTTTGTGATCATTGATGGGAAAATCGACCGAGTCCAATACACCTTGACACTTGGTACTTTCTGTTCTGATCGATATGATTTTGTGTTTCATGTAAATTAAGAGTCTTACTCGATTCATGATCAACTTACAGAAGTCTCAGTTGACTAGGCAAAGTTGTTCAAGTCATTGACATCATTTCATAATAGATTGTCCCATATTGGTCCATGATTGTATATTATGGTTTGAATTTTTGGTCTTATTCGTTATTTTCTTCTAAGGATGGTTGGTCGGTACAAAGACTTGAACCATGGTTATAACATGAGATCCTTAGGTCAATTGGTGGCAAGAATTGAGATAATTTTACAATTATAAGCAAGTTTTTGCATGTTAATTAATTGGTTTGTATAAAATATTTAATCTTTGCTTGCTTTAACTTTGGCATGGGTTTATGGAGATTAAAGTACAGGGATATAAAGTTTCTTTTTGTTTTCCACATAAAAACTATCAGGTCATGGCAGACAAATGATTAAATTTTTCCTATCTCCTTTATGCTACCTTTGATGCTTTTAGGTCTCTCTCTCTCTCTCTCTCTCAAGCATCACAATATAATGTCGTGATTATTGAGGACATAACCAATAAAGACTCATATAATCCCAATGCTTTTGCGCAGGAGAGACAGCTTTATCACCCATAGAGCTTTCTGTGATGCACTAGCTGAGGAAAACAACAAAGTAAACCAAGGACTAATGAACAGCATGGGATCAAACTTACAGGGCCAAATGCCTGATCTCATGTCCTCAATGCCTATAAACAGCAACACATCCATGGGCGTATCCGAATTCAACAACTATGATCTCAAAAACCCACTCAAATCACCCCCTCAAGAACTCATTCCGACGCCATTTAAGCCCATGAACATGGCCGGTGGCATGTTCTCAAGCAGTTCAGGTACTCTCCTTGGCGGTCCAAGAAACGTATCTTCATCGTCTTCTGGCCTTCAGCTCAGCTCTAATAGCCCTTCAAGCTTCAATTACCTCCAAGATGCTAAAAATGGCGGTCAACTTTCGGGTTCGGCTCACATGTCTGCAACTGCCTTGTTGCAGAAAGCAGCCCAAATGGGTGCAACTGCAAGCAACAATATGAACTCTTCCATGATGCAGAAGAGCTTTGTTAGTAACATGGCGGGTCCTGATCAAATCTCTAGCTCGAGACCACCGTCTTATGGTGGAATTCAGCAGCATGATAGCTCCTATGAGAACTTCCAAACACACCCTGATCAGTCAACTTTAGTAGGGATCAATGGTGGAGGGTTCACTACACAGCTCTTGCAAAAGAACCAACAAGAGGTTTCACAGTTGTTTGACTCAGGTTCAGCCACTTCAGCTATGAATGATATGGGATTGTTTAGTGGAATGTTGATGGCGGGTGGCGGTGGTGATCAAAACCATGGGTTCATGAAAAATCTGGAAAATGAAGATAATAGTTCAAGTTTGATACATGGAAGAACTGCAATAAGGCGAAGTCCGACCAGCCCCTCAGGTTTTGGAGGGAAGGCCGGGAGGGGAAATGATATGTTGACTGTTGATTTTTTGGGGATTGGGGGTTCGAGGCCCCCAAATTTTCACGAACAACAACAACAACAACAAAGATTGGACTTGGAAGCAATGAGTCAACAGAGAATGCAAGTAATGGATCCTTTCCACCAACAGCTCTCACATGGCGATTCAGCCATGGAAAAGTCCATGTGGAATGCTTGAGAGTATTTATTGCCTTGAGAGTCGGATGTTAAATTGTTATCCCTTTACTATAGAGCAACACATGGAAGAAGGGTATGAAGATATAGTGTAATTGTAGAAGATAGGCAAATGCAATTTAGCATGAAGGGTATGAAGGGGTTGCATAGCACTAGGCTCAATTAGCCTGTTCTGGCAAACGGACCACCCTTGTTAGATTGCTCTGTCTAATCCTTGAATAAGCTTCTGTTTAAACAAAAACTTTATGGGTACATTTTGCCAAAACAAAGCTGTTTTTAATTACCTTGAGTTGTTTGCTTGATAATGGCACAAAGGTAAGATTGCTCTATTGTGACTTGGAGATCACTGATTTGAGTCGTGAAAATAACTTCTCTATTTACAAAGGCTGCGTATATCTAATCCTCCCTAGACACTGCAATTACAAAAGCATCATGCACTGGGTACGCCCTTTTAGTTGTCTGGTTGGTTGGGAAGCAGTTACACAACGAAATGTGATTTCCAGTGACAGGATGATTTCTCTTATTTCCCACTCCTGTTCTGTTCTCTTACTTTGTTCTCACAGAAACAACTGTGCCACATTTTGCCATTCAACCCAACCCCAGGCTTCTTTTTTGCACAGAAGAAATGAGTTGCAGTGAGTTGGGCTATGACAAGATGGACTTTTAAAGAGTATAGGTGTGAACTAAGGCTAATCTCATGCGGGTAGTTTTCATCGTTTTGGATTTTTTTTAATATATATTTTTTTATTTTGGTTGATGTTAGATTATTCGTCATGCATTCGAATAAAAACTACTATATATGAATGTATATTCTCATATATACTAAAGCAAGGTGGTGGTATGACATTGAAAATAAAACACAAACACTTGAAGATAAGAAACACTCATACTAGTGCTTGATTACACTATTACTTAGAGTTCAATCCATCCTTTTTTTTTTTTTTGGGGGGTTAACAATCAAAGTGTCAAATGTTCAGGTCAGCTTACGCGCACTCCAATTATAATCTCCTTTCCGGTTTTGTTAAAGATAGGTCATCTACTACGAAATTAGGATATTCACGAGAAATAAATTAACCATGACCATTCGGTTGGTTCTATCTGTCTAAGAAAGAGCTTAACAAAGAAAATTAAGTAAAAATGAGCAAGCAAAATTTTATTTTAAACAAAAAGTAAAAACTAACTAGGCAAGAAAAAAAAATAGTAAAAATTGAAGTTGAGTCCTCCAGCATAGACTTATAATAACTTGAATCTGTCAAGAAAATTTATTTGGTGATAAGTCCGTTTTTTATCTTACTAATAAGTATTTAAGTCCACTATTTATTTTAAATCTCAAAAATAATCTTACCAATGTTATTCTGTTCAATTATAAAAACCTTAAAGACCTTAAAAGTAGTTTTAAATTAACTTCTTAAATTAGAAACTCTCTCTCTCTCTCTCTCGCGCGTTAGAAGAAAATCATCACTCCAATACAACAAATTTTTCTCCTTAGATATCATTTCTTTCTACATAGCATCAAAATCAGTTATCATATCTTCTACTGCATTGTGGTCATCATAAACTTCTACTGCATTCTGGTTATCATGAACTTCTACGTCGTTGATTTTCGAAAAAAAAAAAAAGATCAAAAAACTTGCTCAATGAGTTATTAGTTTGATTCTCAATTTTATTTTTATTTTTTTAATAAATAATTCCCAAATTTTTTCAATGTTTCATGTTACTACATTTTTTGTTGACCATGTTATTATTTTTTATTGAGCATGTTATTACTTTTTCAGTGTTACTTTTTTGGATGTTGAATAATTTGAAGCTTCTTCTTCTAATTATGGATTTGAATGTTACTATTTTTATTTTCAATGTTTTATATTTTTTTTTTGTTGAATATGTTACGATTTTTGTTGAACATATTACTATTGTTATTTTTTTAAATATTAATATTGAATGTTATTATTTTTTTATGCTTAAATGATAACTTTTTTTTGTATTTGAATATTAATATTTTTTTATTTTTAATGTTACTATTTTTTTATAATAAATAAGTTTTTTTGTCCGACTGCCTCCAAATTTTCCAAAAAAAATAGTAAATAATATAATGGGCCACGTAATGGAATAACAACCCGTGAACTGGTCTGTGACTGTAGTGATGGTGGATTGGGCCACAAGATCGACATAACTATCTAGTGGGTATTGCACACACAAACTTGGATAGGGCGTAAAGATGGGCTCAAATTACTCAAATACCTGGTGGTATTTTCGTAATTCTACAAGGAAAACGGAAGCGCACCGACGAACATAGAAGAAACCCTAACCCTAACTGTGATGCCCTTCTATAAATAATACGACACGCACCTTGCTGATTAAGAGACCATTTGTGCACCTCCATGAAACAATGAAGCAGCCGCCTTGGTCTCTCTCTTTCCGTTTCTTTATTTGATTTTCTTTCTGTGCTTTCGTTTCCTTGTCTTGATAGAATTTCCTGATTGATTGATTGGAGGCTGTGATGTTGATAACTACCTATTTTCTGAGGGGACATTTTCCCTTCGTGATTATAAAACACCAATGGATCCTTCTGAGCCTTCTTTCTCTCTCTCTCTCTCTCTCGCGGTACATATATACTTGTATGATAATTTTGGGGATTTTGAAAGCTTTTTTTTCGTGTTTAACTTCATTGGAAATCAGCCATTGATGTGATGATAATCGATTCGGAAATTACCATGTCGATCAAAAAAATTATTTCAGACTACAATTATCTGATCAATGGTTTCTGTTCTTCATCAATTTCACACCCCCTTCTACGCCCTTTGTTTTCTTTTTCGTTTTGGATATGTTTTTCCAATTTTTTTATTCATATAATTTGAAGAAAAAATTCAAAATTCTGATTGCTTAATGCTTATATTTGAAACTATCGGAAAAAAATCTGTTGTGCCCGTTAAAGTTTTGATGATATTTTTCATTTTTCGTGCAGGAGAGAGTTAAAAGGTCAGTCAAACAACCTGGTCTAGGCTTAGGCTGGTTTGTATTGGGTGATAGATCTCCATCGTATGAGTAATATAATTGAAAAGTTGTCGATTAATTATTTTCCCCTACTCAGTACATTATTGTGGTTTCACCGTCTAATAGTATTGGATAACATGATGGTGAGACAGGCATTATTATGAGACTCAGTTTTTTTTTTATTGAAAAAAAAAATAAAAAAATTATTTGTTTGGACACAGACCTATTGAATAGTTTTTTCATCAATTGTTTGAACAAAAATAGTTTTTATTACTACTGAAGAAAAACATAAAAAAAGGATTTATTCAAGGAAAAGTTAATTTTTTTGAAAATATTTTAAACAGTTGTAAGAATTAGAATTTTTTTATTTCTGATTTTTTGTTTCCAAACAAGTCCATAATTTATGGAGGATTCACTTGTTTATGCTCTAATTGAATGAATGGTTAGGAGGTGATAAAAATGGTACGATGTATGGCCCTCTAAAGACTTTTCCGCAATTATTATGAATAAAGAGCGGAGAGATATGGTCTTCTCATTGTTAAATATCTATAATACCCCCTTAATCACACAACTCTTCCCCTTTCTAACAACAACACGCGTATCTCATGTTTTCATCTCAACATTGCAACTTCTGTATAAGTAACCCATGGTTTTTTGAAGTTTTGATTTGATTCATTGGTGTTTTTGGGGTTTTAATGATACTGATACAACTCAATTAATACCACCTTTAAATAATTTGAATTAAATAATCACAATTGGAATAAAATGTAATAAGAACATTCGGCAAGACTTGATGTAATTGGAAAGCAAGTTTTTATTATTCACAAAGAGTGGAAGCCTCACCAGCCACACAAAAGATCCTATCATTCCATCATGCTCCTTAAAAAAATGGAGGATGGATTTCTTTCCTTTATACATTTTACCAATAGTAACCAACTGGTGTCTAAATATACAATAAAATGTAAATAGCTTTAAAAGGGATGTCGATGGCCGTTTAATAAGTCTCGAATAAATTTAATGAAACCTACCTTATTTTATATTATAGAAGATCAGAGATTTGAATTTACATAAAAACATGGCTTTAAGCAATAGTCTTATAAATTATTATTGGAAAATCGAACCTATGAGGTTAGAGAATGCAGCCTTTCTTCTCTCTTCCTTTTATTCAAGTCATGGTGAAACTGTGGCATTACATTTCCCAGTCGTAGCAGAACGCAGACCTGGATCACATTGGTGGCTGCCTCTAGAATACGCTTCTCTGCTTCTTCAGCCACCTTTGCTGCATCTCTGGAGGAAATCACAAAGACACTGTGTGTGGTAAAGTACCAGAAATAACCGACAATTTGAACAAAATCAAGGGAATACAATGTGATTAACCTAATTAACATGTCAGGAGGCATCGAGACTTCAATTTGAACTAGAATCTTGGCATGCAGCAGGTGACGTGTTACACGTTCAACAACCATTTTCTGAAAATAATTCAAAATTATTATATCATTTTTCACTGCAGATGAAAAAACTAAGAATATTGAAATGATCTGAATGAAAGCTTGTACTTCCTCCTGTGCTTAGAAACAATGTATGGTTGAACTCACATGGGTCACAGGTATTGAATAACCATTACATAAAGTTAAGCCAAATTGACCAAAAGTTTACAAGTTGCTAAGAAAGAAAAAGGCAAAAAACAACAGCATATGTTGATAATAAAACAATAGAAATAAGTTGCTTCAGGGGAAAAAAAATGAGATAAAAGGGAAGTACCTCTGAAAACTCTGATGATAAAATACTGGACACTATGTCTTCAATACCATTTTGCTCTGAGGAAGCTGTACTGTTCTGGTAATCTGTTCCCTTCGCATTTCCTTGCTGGTCCATTATACTGGGTGGAAAATGTGAAGTTGAAGGCTCTACAATGACAACAAGTGAAAAGCAAAAAATTAATAAACTGATTAATTACCAAGACCAAAACACAACAAATAAGGAGACAACAAATTTCAAAGACCAATAACTTGTTATGGCTGACAATGATGACGGTTCAAATTAATGATCAAAAAGAAGTTTATCTTGATTATTGTGCCTCAGTTGGAAATAAAGCAGTAAGACCTTTCCACACAATCTAAGGCAAATATGAAGTATTGCACTGTATAAAAAATTAAGTCATATACCCAATTGAGGTGGCATCACAGCCAATGCAAAATGGCCAGAAAAGTCTTCCTAGAAACAAATAAGTGAGAAAGATATAAATGAGTCCATTGGGTTGATATTCCATGAACAATTTAGTCAAGATAAGAGGATACTGAGGGTGGAGAAGTGCAGAGGGACAACTAGAATGGAGTGTAGAATTTGCTACGAATCCAATGCAGAAGAACAGGAAAGGGAACAAGTAGTCCACCATAGCACACCGTTCGTTTCGCAAGAAAAATGAGGAAAAAAATTTCCAAGGAATAAAAATCCAGTTGATTGTTTCATTTCAAATTCCATTTTAGTTTTAGAAAATAATTTTCTGTAAGGAAGGAAAATATAGGAAAACATACCTCAAATAAATTGGGAAGTTGTTTTCCCTTGACTGAGACCGAAGGAGTTTATATGGGTAGAAGTTGTATAAAGCTTAAATTCTAACAAGTTCACAACATGTCTCCCTCCCTCGCTCTCTCTCTAAGTGTGTTTGTCTGTCTGTGGATCAGTTTGCTTTCAAGCAGATCTTTTGAATCTTAATGCTGAGTTTGGGTTGAAAGCTAGACTTTGGCAGACTCAACAAGCTAAACAACATCTCCATCAACAATCAATAAGAAAATATTATTCATCCACCTTGTTATTGCAAAACTATGTCCTGCCAAACTCACAGGACTTCTGATGCCAAAAATTTGACAAAGTTTCAATTGCTCAAAATAAGAAACTAGCAAAACCAAGTTGTGTACCTATATGTATAAAGACTTCAGCTACTTCAGAATGACACGTATGTATTTGACGACGAACATTCTCACCCACATCATGTGCAGCACTAACACTAGAAAAAGGATCAACCTGCAAAGAAAAAATAAATATGTCTTCACAAGAAGATATGTAGGGTGACCAATTACATCACATAAATGCATATGATGCAATCAAGTGAAAAGTCGAGTTATATACTGCATGCATGGTGAAATATCAGGAAATCCAACCAACCTCAATAGTTACATCAAGATACAGATAGGAGCCAGCTCGCCTTCCTCTCAGGTGTTTGCATCCCTGCATTGATCAATTATAAGCAAACATGTCAGGAATCTAGTTTTCACGAAACCCAGATCAAGAGTAACAGTTTTTCAGCAGCAAAGTGCCAATAGATAGAGCACCATTTCTTCTCCATGTCTTCTTTTTCCCATGTTCTCCTCCATGCAATTGGTTTTCTTCTCCTCTTTGTTTCTCTTGGGCTAGGGGGTTGTGAATAGTTTATGATTTTGAGGAGAGAAACAAAACAATAATAGCTTGGCATGGGGGTGAAATGACAAGGAGAAGAATCACTCACAGCCCCTATCTTGAGGACAAAAAAGAGGGAGAAAAAAGACATGACATGCTGAGGCAAAAGGTGTATAAAATAGAGTAAGAGACATCTCTACAGGAACATATAAAGAACCAAAAAAAAAAAAAAAGAGGCAGCATGATGCACACAATTATAAGAGTAAGCACGCCAACATTAAATCAATGATTAAAAAAATTCCCACTTGCCTTAACTCCTTCAACTTGCGGTATTGTTTGTTTAATAGGATCCAAATGTTGCGACAGGACTGCAGCATCCACCAGTTCCAAGACACTAACAAAATTAGTAGCATGTCATATATCAGCTTTCAGTCAAAATTCAAAACATCCTCAGACCATCTCCAATGGAAATCCTAACTTTAACCCAAATTTGAGTAAAAAAAAGGGTAAAAAGCTTGATTTGGTATAGACCTCTCCAATGGAGAAATCCAAATTTAAAGGAAGAGAAACTCAAATTGAAAAGAGAATAAAATATGACCATTAGATCTTTAAAGGAGGGTGTAATCTCACCGTTAAAGATTTTGGTATGAATTTGAGTAAAAAAAAAGGAATCTCCCTTCATTTGATATGAGTATGAATCTAACATTGGAGAAGGTTTTTAAGAGCATTTTACCCAAATTTAAATTTGGGTTTAAAAAAGAATAAGGATTAGAGATGCCTAAGACGATGATAGAATTCCTGTTCGACTATCACAAAACTTTAATAAGGTCATTTGATAAATTGTAGAATTGTAGCAGTTCTCATGCATTTGCACACATGCTTGTCATATATCCAAAAGTTCAGTGTGTGACATTTATTGAAATTACCTACAACCAATTAGGTCAAAAGTAAGAGAAATACATTCTTAACTTAATGGAAGTTTGCATTCTTGTCATGTTTTGCAATCACTTGGAAGTTGTAAAACAAGGTACTTCAAGTAGATACTTGTAAGTTTTAAGGCCAACTTGCCAGTTTGACATTCATGCAATTGAGGATCTAATTGTAACCATAAAGAAAAAAACCAATGAATTGTAGGCCTGACCATTGCCAAAGTTCAACTTGAATTCATCTTGCCATCACAAGGCATATATCCAACTATTAAGATAGGTAGTTTGACCTATGCCAAAGCTAAGCAAGTTTAAGAACAAAAATCATCGTCCATTTTGGAAGAGGTCAGTCAAGGATCCAAAGAAAGCAATCAAAATATAAATTCAGCTTGTAGAAAAATACATACCTCTGGTAACCAGTTTGAAGTCCAGCTTTAAGGATCATGCCTGAGACAACTAGTCCTGCAAGAGGATCTAGGAACTTTACCCCTAGAAGAGATCCTCCTAATGTCAAGACAAATGAGTCATGGTCAGTGACTAATCACAAAATTAAACCACATTATGTGGTCTATGGACAAGAAAATAAGAAATTGAAAAGGCCCAAAGATATGGATCTACGTACATTCATACAAAAGGAACCACAACATTCACTGAATAAAAATTGAACTCTTAAGAGAGCATGTAAAACTCAGTCCCACATATCTCATTACAACCATATACAAATGGGTCTCAAGACATAGTAGAAGTATGCCAAGGATATTAAGAGTTAGAATTTATGAATCATTTTGCAACTATGCGATTTCACTGTAAATACACAACTAAATAAATTGAGGATCTAATGCTATATGAAACCGTTCCTGATGTTTAACTGAAAAGGGCACTTGAATGTCCAATTAAACAAAACCGGATGCATTTTTCTTAATCTTCTCAATTTTAATAATGTATGTAGATTGAATTGAGGGGTAAGATAAATACATCCCTCCTTAACTAGATGTAATTCTTTTTTATCTAATCAATAAATCTCCCTCGTATCATCAAGGTTATTTAAAAAAAAAAATTAAACAAAACCGGAAATAAAAACTAGTTCAGTGATATAGCTAAGCGAGCATATTTCAATAATAAAAACAAGTTGGTCCCCAAAAGATATGTAACATTAGTTCAGAGTATGTGAATTATTAGATGATTAAGGAGAACAAGACAAAAATGGTCACAAAACATATGTTCCACTACCTGAAGTTTTACATCAAAAAATAAGTTTTATAATAATACTCCCATCAAAAAAGACACCTTAGCCTAGCTATAAGTGTATAACAATAAGCATTTAGTAACATCTCAAATTGCAGGGCATCACTCTTGCTCTCAAGTTTCAATTCAGAAACACTTCTCCACTTATTCATGTAAGCAAAGCACTGATGATTTGCATAGTCAATATGAACTAAAAGTCAGCTTTTAATTGTGGATGAAAAAGATCGATGGTTATTACCAACCCCTATAAGAGCAACCACTGAGGAAACAGCATCTGCACGATGATGCCAAGCATTTGCTATCATCAATCCACTGCCTGTCCTTTCCCCTGCCCTCTTTGTTATACGGTATAGCCTGTGAATAGAACAAAACTTAGACACAACATTGATGAAACAACCAAAAGAAGGAACAAGATAAACTCCTATGACAAATTACAATAACACCCCTTGACATATGCATAAGGCATCCAGTCAAACCCTGACATTTTTTATTGACATGGTGACCTCCTGGCATTTAAAAGTTGTAACAAAACCTCCTCTGGTCCCGAAAAAGATGGTGTCAGCAAAAAATAATCTCAAAATTCCGACATTGCCACCAGTATTCCTTTTTAGAACCAAATGACTGTGTCCTAATTAATTACTTACAAGAAAAAAGTTAACCCAGCGGCCAAACTACTAGGAAATGTCAAAAGGCAAACTATTTTCATTTTCTCAGTGCTTGATCATCCACAAAGAAGGAAGGGAAATGGAAAAATAACAATGAGAGGTTGTAGTAACAGCAGTATAACACAGTATTTTGCGACCTCACAAGAAACAACACATCAAGTGAAAATGGTGCGACAGACTATTTCAAGATGAAAGAAATGCATTAGAAATGAAACTGTTTAGGAAGTGAAAAAGAAAAGGGAAGGGTGGCATTACGGATGAGAAAGTAGCACAAAGGGGGATAAGGCAAAGGCGACATAGCAATCAGCAATCAGTTCAAGTTAGCAGCATTGTATTGAAAACCAATAAACTCCCTTCTAAGAAAAAATACTATTCCACGTGATCAATTGTGTAAATAATTTGCTTACCCTTCTTTGACAGCTATTGACACTATAGTCATACTCAAAGCCAGAACAGGGTGATCCATGTCGATTCCATGGTGATGGCCACTATGATGATGACCATGAACATGTCCATGTGTCAATGATTGACTGACTATTTCAGGAGCTGCTGACCAAATTGCCTGCAGATTAGATGCAAATAGTTCTAAGGGAAAGAAAGAATTCATTGCAGAATATATAGGTGCTCCGTGCATAATATCTTAACACAATTTGAACATGATTGAATCGGACCCATGTCCTCAGTTGACTTTAAACCAACAACCTGCCCCTCCTCGTGGGGGGCAGAGAAAAAGGAAATCATACCAGCAATTGATCCAAAGCATGCCATGCAATACCTCCAGCGGTCAACAAAAGCACACCAGAAATTCCAAGGGCTCCTAGACTCTCAAATTTTCCATGCCCTGAAAGATAACAAGCAAAAACAATAGTGAACTTTGGAAGCAAAAAAATGCACCAAAATTGACTTCCCTTGTGCTAGTGGAAATGATTTTTTTAATTGAGCACCCGTCATCATATCATCACCAACGCCACAAGAGAGCGTTCAGGGATGATAAAGCAAAAAGGATAACTAGATAAATCCAAAGGGAAATAAAGGTTTTTGCACACATAAGATTAAGCAGTTCTTCTAAGGATTGACAAGATTTCCATTTATGTGCTCTACAGAATGTGTAGCAACATAGCGGACTTTAACACAAAAGGCAGTGTCGCTTGAGTAAGATTAAGCATTTCTTCTAAGGTTCACAAGACTGCCATCTATGCTCTGTAAGGGATGCAACATAGCAATATGTCCGACTTTCAACAGAAAAGCCAATTCTTCAAATCTCTCTCATAGGCTTGGAGTGCTGCATGGGATCCTTAAGAGATTTGTGCACAGAAACCACTGGTGTTTTAATGTAGCACCTCAGTCTGGACCCAACTTCAATTGGAGTTGGAGATTATCTAAGTGACAAGAGGATTTCTAATTGAAAAGGGTTTTACACCAAGTGAACTTCTCAAAAGATCATTTGCTTTGTTGATTCACCTTGTATTCATCCTAACAAGCTAGTGTCAATATAAAACCTAAATTTAATTTCAAAGACAAATACACTTGATTACTTCTACAGCACTAGTGGCCCTCAACCAAATTCAATTTGGTGCCAAAATACATGGATATAAACTTGATCAAACCATTGGAGTCCCCACATGAAAAAGGAATAGAACAAAAAACACAAAAGAAGATATGAGGGGAGGAGAAGAGGGAAGAGAACTTCGCTGTTCAAAAACCAATAACGCAATCAATTCAACTGAAATATTTAGGCTTGCAGATAGACCTTGACACATGAGAGAGACCCTGCAATGGTGGGAGTTGCATGTGCTTTTTCTATATAGGCCCAAATACGAATGAAATATAGAAAATATCCTCCTAACTTCCATGGACATACAGCCCAAATTTTCAAAAAAAAGAGCAATGAATACTAATCAAGTCGGTTTTCCACATAAGCTATCAGAGATAAAATTCTTTCCAGACTAAAACGAAAAGTCAACAGATTCATGCACCTGCTACAACAAACATATAGCATCCAATCACAGGATTATCTGACATTGACCTCCAGTAGGAATCAGCAAGCAAGAATCATTGACTAAAATGAATCAGTTGATGCCACTATTTCCTTTTATCTAAAGCAAAACATCAACATACACTATGAAAACGAGAGAAGAACACAGACAAAATGCAAGATCAACGGAGTAGCGTGTAGGTACGGATCAAAAGTGACCATATGGATGTTCTTTGTCCTTAGGAACCCTTGCAGCTTTAAATGACAACAGAGCAACGCCGCTGAGGACCTGCAACATACAAAGAGAGATATCAATGACAAGGACGGATTCGAAATATGGAATTATGTAGGCATATGTTTAGGTATACAGCAATCTCTGGATCTTATTTTGATACATATATAGATGATTTCTCTATACCACGTCGGAGACAGAATGAGCTGCATCTGCAATTATGGCGGTGCTACCAGATACGTATCCAGTCACAGATTTTCCGATAGCTAATCCAATATCGGCGGCAAGACCCAACCGGAAAATCTTCTCGCCTGACTGGAGATCACGGTGGTCATCGTGGAGGTGGTGAGAATGGCCCAAGTGCCACCGCTTAGAAATCTTGAAATTAGGGCTTTCAGTATACGTCGGTGAATAATCGTATAACTGGGGATTGAGACCTCCGATTATAGGGCTCTGACGATGAGGAGAAAGAGGAGGAGAAGGATTGAAGTTCTTGTTCGTGTATGATGAAATTCGTAATACAAAGATTTTGTGGATGGGATTGTGATTAAAGAATCTGAAAACCATTCTTTCTTGTGCCCACTGAAATCAAAGGGGTTTTGAAGTTGGAGTTGAAAGGAAGGTACTGAAATAGTGAAGAAGGGGAAGAAGAAGAGAAACTGTACAGGGGATAAAAAATGTAAATCCCATTTTGCCCATACAAATATGGATTCTCAATGTACCCCCTCCAATTTTCGAATTATCTGACAAAAAATAGATTGACGTTTAAAGAGAAACTAACACGATAAATTACATTGCAATATTTTTTATTCTTTGACAAGATAATATAAAAAGATTAATCAAGGGCCAAAATAAGATTTTCCCAAAAAAATAAAATTTGACCCCTTTTAGTTCTGACACGTCACATGATCCCTCATAAACCTTTTTTTATCATTTTGGCCCTTATAATTATTATTCACTTTTCCACCTCTAAATAGGATTAATAATCTCATAAAGTTACTTAACCTCAACTCGAACTCAATTTGTATAGGATTGGCTCATTTAAAAAAATGAACCTAAAAAAATTTGGCTCAAGCTCACAAAATTTAGTTTGTTTATGTGTAAATTAAAATAGTCGAGCTATTCAGACTCAACACGTTTTAGAAATCGAGCTGAATTTTAAAAAATTTTAAGTTTGTTTAAAAAAACGAGCTCGACAAATTCAAGTTCAACTCGCAAAGCTCGGCTTAATTATCAACTCTACCTCTACATGACCCCAATTCTACCATTTGCAAAATTACCTATTAGTATACTTAAATAATAAGTAAATTTTTTTTTAATAAGTTTGAAACAATAGTGGTTAATATTTAAAGGGTTGAGCATAATTACAAAAAAAATGCATGGCATTGATTCTTGTCGGCCCTTTCAAATTTCATTTCCTTATTGAGATCAAGATATTGTTTCATTAGATCCAATTTGGTCAGATCAATTCCCTAATATAATTTGTTCGGACCAAATTTTCAGGGTTAAATCAGATCGATCGTAACGAATGATCGTATAATCAAACATAACCTTATATTGTTTATTCTATATATAGAGAGATACATGCAAAATTTTTATAAAATGAACTTCTAATGAGGTTCAAGAATCCTAATCATCTGAACTTACTACCCCTCGTAAACTATGTTTAAAAACCTTTTTATTCTAAAAGAAAATCAACACCAGTTAAGAGGAAGAGAAGTATGCTAAGAAGACTTTACAAAATATCATTTGGTCCCCTATATAAGAGGGAAAATAACCTTAAAATAGACAAATGCACATGTAATTGTTTNCGTAATACAAAGATTTTGTGGATGGGATTGTGATTAAAGAATCTGAAAACCATTCTTTCTTGTGCCCACTGAAATCAAAGGGGTTTTGAAGTTGGAGTTGAAAGGAAGGTACTGAAATAGTGAAGAAGGGGAAGAAGAAGAGAAACTGTACAGGGGATAAAAAATGTAAATCCCATTTTGCCCATACAAATATGGATTCTCAATGTACCCCCTCCAATTTTCGAATTATCTGACAAAAAATAGATTGACGTTTAAAGAGAAACTAACACGATAAATTACATTGCAATATTTTTTATTCTTTGACAAGATAATATAAAAAGATTAATCAAGGGCCAAAATAAGATTTTCCCAAAAAAATAAAATTTGACCCCTTTTAGTTCTGACACGTCACATGATCCCTCATAAACCTTTTTTTATCATTTTGGCCCTTATAATTATTATTCACTTTTCCACCTCTAAATAGGATTAATAATCTCATAAAGTTACTTAACCTCAACTCGAACTCAATTTGTATAGGATTGGCTCATTTAAAAAAATGAACCTAAAAAAATTTGGCTCAAGCTCACAAAATTTAGTTTGTTTATGTGTAAATTAAAATAGTCGAGCTATTCAGACTCAACACGTTTTAGAAATCGAGCTGAATTTTAAAAAATTTTAAGTTTGTTTAAAAAAACGAGCTCGACAAATTCAAGTTCAACTCGCAAAGCTCGGCTTAATTATCAACTCTACCTCTACATGACCCCAATTCTACCATTTGCAAAATTACCTATTAGTATACTTAAATAATAAGTAAATTTTTTTTTAATAAGTTTGAAACAATAGTGGTTAATATTTAAAGGGTTGAGCATAATTACAAAAAAAATGCATGGCATTGATTCTTGTCGGCCCTTTCAAATTTCATTTCCTTATTGAGATCAAGATATTGTTTCATTAGATCCAATTTGGTCAGATCAATTCCCTAATATAATTTGTTCGGACCAAATTTTCAGGGTTAAATCAGATCGATCGTAACGAATGATCGTATAATCAAACATAACCTTATATTGTTTATTCTATATATAGAGAGATACATGCAAAATTTTTATAAAATGAACTTCTAATGAGGTTCAAGAATCCTAATCATCTGAACTTACTACCCCTCGTAAACTATGTTTAAAAACCTTTTTATTCTAAAAGAAAATCAACACCAGTTAAGAGGAAGAGAAGTATGCTAAGAAGACTTTACAAAATATCATTTGGTCCCCTATATAAGAGGGAAAATAACCTTAAAATAGACAAATGCACATGTAATTGTTTTTTGCATACAACTAGTTTTGTCATTTCAAGATGAGATCATGGCCACTGGGGTCATCTGCCTTCAGACAACAGCTTTGTTTGACATTTCTCGAATTGTCTTAAAACCAACCATTGCATGTCATCGAAGTCTTCTCCAACCTTTCAGTTCTCCAGTTATATTGCAAACTAAGACCAGTCCTTTTCTTCTTTAATAATGTGAGAATAAGAAGATATATTATAGAAGGTTGGATTGTTTAGAATAATTCACCCAATGAATGACCAAAATTAAAAATCCCATTTAAATAATTTCTCTGTTAGATAAAGAAATTCAAAGAAAAAAAAACCACTAGGTGGAATTTTCCGGTGAGTCGATTCTTAGTCCCATGTCCCTTTTTTAAAAACCCAACCCCAAAAAGTTGAAACTCGCCTCCATTATGAACAGATAGGTATCCATGTCTACTCTACATCGTTACAGTTTTCAGTCCATGGCAAAGGCCATACACTACCTCCTTCGGTCACGGTCACGGTCATGGTCGCGGTCACGCCACCTTCGGTTACCATCCCTAGAATGATCATGGTACCCCAAAGGATTTTGGGGTCTTGACCTCTCAGGTCTATAATTGTGATCCAAATCCATCCGGGCTCCCAGGTAATTCCTTCCGGGCATGTACTGAGGAGATCTAATGGGACTATTCTCAGGACTCCATGATTCAAACCCGGGCTCACGCACGAGTTCATTTCTCTCCCAAGGACCTCGCTGCATGGAAGCATGAATAGGTCCCCCAACAAATACATTGTGGTTATTTTGATTAGGTTGAGATAGAGGATTTGAAGACGAACCCTCCCTAACTCTCCAAGAATAGGTCGAAAGGCGAGGGTCGGGTAGGAGGGGCGACTGTGTTGGCGTCGGTGTTGGCAACAAGGGTGGCAAAGGGAAGGAATGTGGTGGTCTCTCTGGTGGATTCACTACAATAGACAGTGGTGCTGGTTGGACATTGCTCAAGGTTTCAACCTGCACTAAAGACGACACAGCAGCCGAGATATTAGGTAAAGCCAAGCTAGAGACAGAGATATTGTCCATGTTTAGGGCTACTCCTGAGGATGGTCTTTGCATGGTGACAGAGTTGATGGGAGCATTTTGGTGCAGTAATGGAATTGGAAGAGGTCGTGAATTTTCAAGTAGGGCAGTTAATTTTTGGGGCAATGATGCTTGAAGAACTGCTTGGTGGGCCGGCGGTTGTGGGACGATTGGTTGTCGATTGTGTATGAACATGGTCGTGGATGATATCCGAGGCTGCACCAGACTGCTACCCGGAAGGTTTTCTCGCAAAGTGGCGGTGGCGGCAACTCCTGGCATGGCATCAGCTTCTCTAATAGCTACTCCATTCTGCCGTGAAAATGGATTTTTGGCGAAGTCTGGTCTCCATCCACTCTGCATTATATGAGGAATAATCAATCAATAAGCCCAAGCAAATGTGAAGAACATTAATGACATTATGGTGACAATTGATAACAACAGCTCATGTCAATTGCGGGTCCAAACACAATGGAGGGAGACTTGACGCCATTACAACCTCTTTTTCTATGTTTGACATGTCTTACTTAAGGGTATGCTTGGATTGACTACTTTGTTAAATAGGAAATAATTGGCCCTATTATTCATAATTCTCCATGTGCTCGCGATCTCTGGCGCCTGGCAGATCCAGAGGTGCCAGATCAGCCCATTCAAATCAAAATAGAGCGAGCACCTACGACTAAAGGGAATGGAATAATCTTATCCTACAAGGGCGAGTGACTGGTAAAGTCATTAAACTTAAGTCATTTTGATCAACATGGCTGCAAGTGGACTGGGTTTCTCCAATCCCATTAACAAACTGATACACTCCACCATATGCACGATGTTTTGCTTTGGACATTAAGGACAAAGTTTAGGCCATCCAACAGTAAGAAAGAGAAAGGAAGAGAGAGAGGGGGGGAGAGAACAAAAAGTAAGTCGAAAAGGCAGAGGAAGACGGAAATTGGTAAAAACTAAATGATTTATTAAAATGTGTACAGTGGTATGTGCATAAATCACGCACCGTTACAGGGTCGCTGGAAGGAGTTGGGGATGGAAGAGAAACTTGAACCTTTTCTTCAGCTTTTCTCTCTAATCCAGTTAAATTACTTAGAGAGCTAACTCCATTTGCCTTAATCATATCAAGCAGCTTCACGGTGTCCTCACTTGATAAGCCACCAGCTTGTCCTTGGCCAGTCGTCAGGGCAAGAACCAATTCCGGGTTTTTAAGCAATACAGCAAGCAACTCGAGATCAGGTTCAGGCATGTTGGTGGCATTGCCATTCTTAGATGATGATGTGGTGGTGGTGGAACTGGAAGCAACTAAAATTGGTTCAGTTTCAATTTCAGTTTCATGAGGAGAAACCGCTGTTTCTACACCATCAACATCAGGCAATTGTTCAGTTGGAATTTCCGGGGTTAACGTGTCATCATAGTCCATTTCACGGTCCCATGGTTCCTTAGGATCTGATGGGATCTCCTGGAATGTCCTGTAAATAATTTCTTTTTCCCTGCGGATTCTGTTTCTCTGAACTTCAACTTCCTTGCTATTCTCTCCAGTGCTAACCCTCCAGGCACCACTAATCCTGGCTTCTGCATAAAGGGCAAAACAAAGAAAATGCTAAAGTCCGAAGAGAATGTCAATGAACACCAAAGACGGGCCACTAGCTAAAGAAGGAAATTAGTAAAACGAAGATAAACCACCAAACCATCAGCACAGACACGGCCATGTTCCGCATCGTTGTATAAAAATCATTCGTGAAATACTTCAATTTCTCTGAATTGAATTGCGTTTGTCGCAGTGAATCAAATACTATTCCACATTCAAGGGGGAGGATTCTTTATTCATCTTTATTTTTTTTTTTTGAAAGGAGGGGGAGGGGGAGGGGGAGGGGGGTTGTTTATGGGTAGCAGAAAAAGCCAAAAGTGATTGCCCAGAATATCTGTTTGCTTCCACGGCCACTTACAGCAGTAATTGTTCCATGTTTCAACATCCAGAATCAAACTAAGAAACAGATTGCCTCCGTCACTCTCCATGACAAATTCCCCCAGACTAATAACCATAGAATCTGAGTTTCCAGGGTTTTCTTTCTTTTACCCTGTTTCCTTAATAAGCAACATCAACAATTCAATCAGTGATTACGTTCACAGGGTTGAGCTATAAGCAAGCCATATTCCAAAAAATATATATATCAAGCCTCAAAGTTCAACCGATAGTTCATTTATCGTCTTTTATAGTACGTTTGCATACATAATTGAGAATTTTCAAGCTCAATCCACCATCCACGAAACCCAACACAACCTGTCAATTACTTTCTTAAACTTGCTTGACTTGAAATTTGCGTGGTAAAAGCAGCTGCTTAATTAAAGGGAAACACACAGTGCATTCAACATTTACATAAAACGATCCCACATTAAGCATTGGAAATTATATTTTTGTAAAAACCCATATTTCCTTTATCCAAAAAAAAAAAATAAAGGCATCAGGAACCCTGAAGATTGTGCCTTCCATAACATACATTAACACTCAACATTGTTTCAATGTCACTTCCACTTTGAATCAATCTCGGAGATTTACATCGCAGAAGTTTCACTTGTTATTCAAGGCACCGGACAAAGAAAATATTAATTTGCATAACCAGAAAGGTCTTTCTCAGTGGTTTTGTCTGTTCCGGGACCAATGACACTTATCCGTTCAAATTTACGTAACAAGTTTGTGTTATTAAATTCTTCTCACGGTCCTATTACCCTCTTTCCCCCATCCAACTTCTCTGCTTGCCAGAATCACAAAAATTATAAGTGTACAAAATGAGAGCCAATAACTGTAAGTGCAGAGAAAACTCCTGGGTGATTCCCCTTTTATTCCTTTTGTTTCTTTTCTTTGCTTTGTGTGTGAATTTTTTGGGTGGGGGGGTGTTGTTATGCATCTTTTGAGCATGCCAATTAGCAAGCGCATTGCTTCCTCTGTCGTCACAAGAAGAGTTTCCGGGAGGACCTTTATTGAGCAACATGTCCTTCAAATCAGTTGGTTTAATGAATAAGTGTGATCCCCGGGCAGAAGGATTCGGGAATGTAAATTGTTAAAGAACACGCATGAGACACTGGCATGTAGGAGATCTTTCACGAACAGCAGTTTATTATGATATAATTATTTGAAAATTTCTATAACAATGACTTGTTCTTCAACCACCGTATCATATAGGAGGCAAAATCTGGCCCATCACATTCATTTGAAGCCCACTTAATTAGCCAGAAACCATACAAAAAGAAGTCATCATTTCCAACAGTTTTGTTAAATCATATACTAGATTAACACGAGTTGATCTTACTTGCCAAAGAATTCAGATATCATTCACACAATACCTTATTAACGGTCCTTTAAGAAGTTTACCACTGTTTAAAGTTCAATTTTTCCACCCAAAAGAGGAGGAAGGGGGGGGGAATGAAATTTGGTTCAAGTGGGGAAATCAGCAAAGTTAACAGCTGCAAAACAGTTGAATCAGCTTATCATATGGCCAGTGTATTCGAAACCACCTGGTTTTTCTTTTTTTTTTTTTTTTGAACAGCGGAAATCAGCTATGTGGAATCATGTAATTTCATTCAATTTCTGGGGAATCGCTAGATTTTAAATTGTGAACTGCTAGTTATTTCTACACCAAAAACGATTAGACTAGTATAATGAGCCAATAAAGAATCACTGAACGCAAATGTACCTGGCGGTGTTTTCCAATGGATCTGGACTCTCTTGCACTTTTTCCATGCAGGTTCCTCTGCGTCCAAACTCATGTTATTTTCAAGAGGAGCTTCCTGCTGATTAGATACTTTTAAGGGAAGCTTTTCAGGGTTTTTGTGTTCCTCAATTGTGGGCCTTACAAGACCTTTAGATAACGAGCTGGCTTGAGCAGAGGAATTTTTGCTTGGACCTTCAGACTTCACTTGGGGACTTTCATCAGAAGCTGTGCTATTTTTCCCATATTTGCTCTGCATGAACTGCGCACGCATTTTTGCCTTTTGTATATCATCAGCCGAAAGGGGGCGACCTTGAGTAGCAGACACTGATCTTGCAACAGGCATGCTCCTTCCAGCCGTTCTTTGGCCTGGTTGCTCCACCAGTAAAACTTTTCTCCGCTCCCTTATTTCTGTAATTAGCTAAGGCAATGCACTCTATGCTCTTCCGTATATATGAACAAATCAGAAATCATGTATGCATAGTTCATGTTGCTTTCAGCTTTTTAGTTAAAAAAGTAATAAAGCAGAGCAGAGGTATCGTTAAGCCATTCAGTCCACGTATTGTTACAGCAGATAGTGGTGTTCTAAATGACATTCTCGTTTCCCATAATATCAGCAGGTTAATTTCTGGTAACTACAGTTTGCTGCTCTGAACACAATCTTAACCTACGAGGGAGACCATACTTATAAGTTCTCCATCCAAAAACAAAAAGACTTGAAGAACTCCAACGATGTTTTCACACGGTCCAGTACAGGCAGTGAAAGTAAAGACCCTTCAGACGATGAGCATGTGGTGTTTGACACATGTTCAATCCCAAACATAATGTGGTCCACAACAAGTCCAGAGTATCAATGGTTATTGGTAGTCTTTGGCTTATATCTGTGCTCAGTTGGGGATTAAAGACACTAAAGGAGGAAGCAACTGAGCTTTTGCATATGAATTAACTGATATATACGGCCAGATAGACAACAACATCAAATTTTCAAAAGTTATGCCGTAGAATGATAAACCTCAGCACATTGTCCATCTTCATATTATCTCCTTAAAAAAGTTATACGACCCTCTAACACTACTTTTTACCAATTCCCCCTTCCAAGGATGATTCGCACCTTGAGAATGTTCCTCAGAATCTTGTGTAAAACCAAAATCTAATTATTCACTTATGAGCAAATATTTTTCCTAGTTTACTTTTTCCTACAATTGCAAGCACCCACTTGGTTTGCAAACAGATTTTGTATTCCACAGCACCTCCCAAATCATGTGCTGATATGAGCTATAAACATGTTACATATATGCAACAGCTGCACTTCCGTCATGAAACTGAAAGAACTTACATATAGCCAATCACATCTTCATAGCAAGGTAGCCTTTTCTTTGTTCTCTCTTTTGATGGAATAACACATTGATTCCATTGTAAGGCATCCCAAGTTCTCAACTAAGTGAAATTTACCCGATAATTATCCATACAAGCCCACTCCCAAGGTTATTTACTTTACACACAAAAAGAAAGGAACAAGCACAATGTCTATAGAGATTTCAAACATATTGCGATCTTATTAGGTACATATACAGCTTTTATCTGCATTTCAACTTCAAATTTTCGAAGGTTTTTGAATTGTTCTCCAAATCTAGAAATTATGCCTTCCTCGAGACAAAAAAACATTTGATTCAACATTTCATTTTTCATCAGCCCTCTTTCTATCACATAGTTACCTTTTGCATGGCTCCTATCTTAAAAACCATGCATTTCATTTTCTCCATATGCAGCCTCCACCATTTAATGGACAAAACAGCAAGGATATAACATTTCCTGTACAATATTGATTTGACTTTCATAAGTAGTGTGACTCGGTGCTCTATTCTAACTCTATCATCCCCCAAGTTCTGGTATAAATAAAGTCAGTTATTAACAGCAAGATATCCAGGATCCAATTGCTCTGAAAATGCAAGCCTTTCTATCAGCCAGAACAAAAAAAAAATGCATCTAGCAGCAAGATCAGCCAACCATTTTGGGTTGCATTACGGAGTCATTTCATTGCTCCGAATGCTTGATTTTTTCTTAGAAGTAGCAGATCATGTAATAGCCTTATTCAGCATAAAAGCATATACTTGTTTGATTTGATTATTTTGTGTCTGAGTTTTTAAGCATAAATTGACAAAAGAATTGATTTTGTCCACATAGAAATGAGATTTCTTGTCCTTCTCTGGAAAATCCAATTGAGGCTTTATTGCTCGGTTCAAGGATTAAAATTGACATATTCTGCATTAGGCACTAGAGTAAGGGAAACATCCCAAAACTTCCAAATAGTATCAAAAGAAAGGCATTATGACCACTGCCTCCAAATGAATTAGCAGATACAGCAGCAACCAGGGGGCATCTGAAAATGTATGTGATCAATAAAATTCAAGTGCTTTACCAATGCTTTTAATATTGAACTTTTTTTCTAACAAGAGTCGAGGGAAGGACACTGCTGTAAGAGGATTAGGGGTCTGGATTTACATGTATCAGGTCCTGACTTCTAGAGAAAAATTATAAGAACCAAAATCACCATCTTCCTCCAATTTTAGTTTTTATTCTAATTATGGGCCAAGTATGGTTGTAATGCAACTCAAAGCCCATCTTTATAATTAAACAACATTGTTCCTATCTTCGCACACGAATGCATGATCAGTGATTTGGCTTCTCGTGAGTCACCATAGTGTCACCTATTGTTACTTTCAAAAATGCGTCAATAAAATATTTATGCACCTACAGTTATTCGACAAAATGTGTTACCCTTGAATCAAAACAAATGCTTTTCCTCAGAGGTTTCACAAAAATGTATTGATAAAATATAAAATTTGACACCTTCCAAAATGACAATATTAGACGATACAAGGCGATAAACAAAAAAGTTGCCCAAGTCAGTTAACCGTGCAAGACGTAAACTACCACCAATATGGTAACTAGACCAGCTTGTATAATGCTTATAAAAGAGTAGCAATTCTTGTGGAAAATATCATATAATGTCCTTCAGGCAAATATGATATTAAATTTTTTCACTTAGGCAGACAAAAGTCAGTGTATTCCTCCACAGACACAAATTGAAGAAAATGGAACTGGTTCATAATTTTACACTACCACAACTCCGATCACCATTAAAACTCCCAAAAAGTTTGAATATTTTACAGATTAATCCTTGAATTTAAGAATCACTTGATGAAGGTATATTTGAAATGACTAACTTTGCCTCTTAAACAATGTTTCTTTATTACCATGTAAGAGTTTACAAGTCAAAGCATACATCAGCTTTTCAAGGAAATCTTCACATATTTTAAGGATACGGGATGAAGGTACACCTCTCATAAGCTTCTTATTAGAGTCATCTGTGGATGCTGTGAGTAGTTTTAGTGGCTGTGGAGATTCCAACCTCCTGAAAAAGAAAATAAAAAAACAATCAAACTGAGTGCAAGCAGACCACAAGAGACCTATCAATAAAATAACCACACACCTGAAGTTTTCTGAACTATTGTATGGAGTTAGAGCCTTGTCCTATAGAGCAACAGAGAACACTAATGATCATCCACGACATGAATGTGTTAAGCAAAGATTATTTCACCATGTAAAACACTTACAGAAACATCAGCATTTGAATCCCATGATTCATTGCCCATAATTTCGCCAATGCTGCACATCATCATGGCATGATAGTGAAAACCTAAATTTGTAATTAAAAAAAAAAAAAGGAACAAATGTGAAATAGAATATAGGCTTGCCTCTGCTTCAACAACATCTCATCCTGTACATCACTTGCAGATTTCAGGGCATTAGGTTTCTTCATAGCTTGGCTTCTTGCAAAAATTTTGCTCCATCTAGTTAACAATATCCTCGCCCTGTTTGAGATGTCTGAGCTCCAAATCAGATAAATGAGATTCAAAAAAAGGTCATGAAAGAAGTCAACTACAGCCTAAAGTTTAATATTTTGAAAAAAAGTAAGTTATACACTCCAGTAATGTATGCAAATTGTAAGTCAGGGAAATCTTTGAAAAAATGCAGATCACATTGAATTAGACCCCACTTTTTCCAACAAAATTCTCCCTAAACGACCAATGTAGAAGTCAACATTAGCCATCTTTATTTCCCCCATAGCTAAAGATGATCAAAAGGAAGAATCACAATATCACGTAAAATCACTTAAAACCCTTGAAACCCCCCCCCCCCCCCCCCCCCAAAAAAAAAAAAAAAAAAAAAAAATTTTTTTGTTTTCTAAAAAAAAAANCCCCCCCCCCCGCCCGCAAAAAAAAAATGAAAGAAAAGAAAGGGAGAGACGCAAACACAAGAAATCATGATCTTAGTCCTGCAAAATTAAGATTTACAACTGCTGCCACTGCCACGTTAATTAGCTGTACGGTATTAGTTATTTGCCACTTAATAAGTAATAATTTATGAATGTATACACTATCAAAATGTTTCTCGAAATAATTAATGAGCACCGCCTAATTTTTTCGATAAGAAACAATACTTATATTAATAATAAAAGCACAAGGTTACAAAAACCAATCATAGGTGGACAATTATAAATATGAGAAACAACATAAAACAAACAATGAAAAACAAAAATTATGACCGCAAGGCACAAGTATTGTTAATGTCACCATCACATAGCATATCACTTGCTCTTGGCTTTCATGTGCTTCAATTGATGACCTTTCTTATTGAGTGTTCGCCTCAGCGATGCTCTCACAATGTTTGACACTCCTACTATGCTCAGGTATATAAATACAACACTTCATAGTCCTTAAATAAATGAACACCTTCCGGAATATACAATATGTAAAAGTCAGGTGCATGTTAGAGAGAGAGAGAGAGAGATCAATTATCTGCAGCAAAAACTCACCTGATGACCTGTAAAACCGCAATCTATTAACACTTTGCAGAATGGCTGACATGTGTGCAGGGAGAGCTTTATGTATAGGCAGGTGACAAAGGACCTAAAAACAACCATTCAACCATTCAAATCCGGACTCCAATGCAAGGTCCAAGAAGCAAAGCATGTAATCAACCAACATCCCAGAACATGAAGATACCTTAAGAATCACATTAAGAACGCTCGTTTGTTCTTCAGTTGCCGCTTGACTCAACAAAGTCGCCAAAATCATTACGCCGCCTTTGCTTAAGAACCTAAAAGTACACGAGAGAATAAATGAGCCGGAATAGCAATACAACAATAGATATCCGTGTATATAGAAAAATGATGTCATCACTACCAATGAAGTACTGAAGGATTTTGTATCTGCAAGATCCACTCCATCAATTTAACCTGCCCAGAGAATGTTTCTTCTTTCCGCATCATACTAAATATATTTTCAAGGAAATGTTTATCCGAGTCATCTACACCAGGTAGGACCTCATCCTGTGTAGAGCAAGATGGTCCTCCTTCAGAAATAGTAGGACTAGGAGCTACACAGTTTAAGGGAACTGGCTCAATAGGCATAACAGGATCGGAGCTTGACGGGAGCCCATCCCTTACTTCTTTACATGCATTAGATCGGATTGTCTTCTCTCTTGACAATCTAACGACCTTCCTCACTCTTGAACGTTGACTATTAAAAAACTCCCGAACCTAAGCAAAACAAGTAATAAAAAAGAGGTATAAGCAATTTCTTTTTACACCAACTCTCAGTTGACATAGCAACCCTGTGATAGTTTTAAATTCTACGACTGCAAATAGTGATTGCTGAGCTCATTATGAGAACAAAACAAATTTTGTGCCTCTCAAAACGGTAACTCAAGGCAACTTCCTGATCCATGAGAAGGAGTGCAGTACAAAATATTCAGTAAGAAATAATGCATGCTTGAACCATATGATTGCTTAAGGGTGACATGAACAACCTTTCCCCTCAAACCTACCCTTCCCCATAACAACCTCCCCCCCCCCCCCCCCC